GTTCTTCTAAAAATAAGATGTACATATATGTACGATAAATAAAATGTATGTTGAAAATAACAAGATCAAACTTGAAGGCGATGTTTGTATAATAAAAAAATCTGTTTACACAAATCCAATAAATTCAACTGTTTTAAACATGTGGGAATTATTAGAACCTCGTTTCGATGCAGTAAGAAGAAAAACTATGACCGTACATGATATCGCACATAAAAGGATTGAATTGAAATTAAATCTTAATGGAACTAATAAAAGAACATTTGCTATATCTCTTTTACACTAGATTGAATCTTTGTATGGAAAAACTGAATAATTTTATGAAGACAAAAAGACATTTAAGTAAATCATAATACTTGTTGGTACATTTATTTTATTAATTTTTTCCTTTATTAAATACACCGATTATAGTTTTACACGCGGTAATCAACGAAACCTTTGGGATTACGATGTAATTGTCCAAATTTATTTCACAAATTTATTACATTCTAACATAATCTATAATAATAAGTGCAACCCTGACTCCATCAAGCCCGACGCGAGTGTGTATGTGTATACAGCTCCGCATACAATAATATAAGATACAACAATGCATGGATCACAGATGCGAAAATAGTTTTAAATAGTAATAGTAATATTTAAGTAATAGTAATAGTTTAGTAATAGTAATAGTAATAATTTTAAATAGTTTTTCTGCCGTGGCTACAGTGCGAAACACGGAACGACATCAATCGGTGAAACCGTAAAACTGATCAATTGTCAAATGTTTCTTATATATTTACATCTTTCGTTACTTTGTTTTTCATAAGCCCGTGTGATGCGCGTGACCGTGTGCTTTTTAATCTGCACATATTATTATTTCTTTTATATTAATTAACAAACAAGTCAAACGGGTGAAACAATTTTGCGTAATAACTATCAACGATATTATTCTTTGAAGACCGAAATATCGTGGAAACTAAAGGTAAGCCATTTGTACAATTTTTTTATTTCATCAAAGTTGACCTTAATATTCGGTCAAGTTTGCATTAAAATCAGAATTCATAGTTGAATGTTAATAAATAAGGCGTTCTTTATTTCTATACATAACAATAGGAATAAGTATCTCAAGGCTTGATTATTTTTTCCATTGTTTAGATGAGTGAGGACGAAGACTATTTGCACAAATATCAGTTAGTACAATTTATAAGGAAAGGTCCAAAGTCTGGAAAAAAAGAAATTGACGTGGTACCGTCGAAATGGATCTCATGGGACCAAAAGCGACTTAAACTCACGACAAAATTTATGCCAGGACCGTACGATGAAAATACTTCGAAACTTTTACAGGATTTTGTAAATCATTGTTTTGATGCACCAGAATCTTGGCCTACTTATACGGTTAAGATCGTTGGCGAAGCAAGTAAGTAATTAAATTAATATAATTAATATATAATAATAAATTAATATAAAAATAAATAATAAATAAATTAATAATAAATTAATATAATAAATAATGTATACATATGTACATATGTATACATATATACATGTAATGTATACATGTATATATATAATTTTAATGTCCTTTAATTAAAGCAATTTGTTATGCATTCTAGAGCAATACGATGAAGCTTTAATGAAACTGGACGAACTTTCAGCCCAGGAGTTTGTTTTTTCTTTGCCTTCTGACGAGGATCCAAAAGAAAAATCAGAAGCAAAAAAAGAATTTTATAAAAAGAAAGCATTGAATGACAGTGCAGCATTCGTATCAAAGTTTATGACGTCTGACAAAAACTCAAATTCTTTTAACTCAGTCTCAGGTAAATTACAATTATAACGCATGATAACTATATAATAAGAAATAAATATCAAAATTATTATCCAACAATCTTTCGAATTAATAAAAATTGATCTGTTCTACTTTTTGTTTCTTTTCAGAGCCAAATAAAACATTAAAACGTCTTAAAAAAACAAATACGAAAAAACAAAATAAGGGTCTAAATACAGGATCTTCAAGGATAGTGCAGATGCCCCAATTACCCATTGGTTTGTAAATTTATGTTATTTTTTAATACTTTATATAAAATGATTTCTATAAATTTTTGTGTAACTATTGCAATTTTTAATAATTTGTAATAATTTTAATAATTATATAAAATCATGATTATTACTATTTTCCAGATAAGAAGATTATTCTTCAGCGTGAGGATACTTTGAGTATGGATTTAAAAGATAAAAGCCAATCGATAGTTGTAATGGATAAGGACATTCCTGTTTTAACGCTTAATTCACAAAGTAACTATTGGAATATTTGAAATTTAACATAAATATTTGTATTTTTAATGTTATTATAAAAATCTTAAATTTCAGATTTGCATGGAGTAGAATGTGAAAACCCAATCAACTTTACCACACTTAGTGAAGAAAGTATGTTTGAACATCCAAAATTAATTATTTTTATGCAATTGTTACATATAATTTATTATTATTATTATTATAAATATTGTTATTTATTTCAGAAGCCGATTTAATACTTGTAAAGTTAGAACAAATCAGATATGAAATTCGGAATTTAAAAGCTATAGTCATGTATAATGAAGCAACGAAAACTACTGATAATAATTATTATACAGCAGAGTCAACTGGATTTTTGAAAACATATAATATTAAATTTCCACTAGAAACAAATGATCAATTCAACGCATTTAATACTCAGTTGAATACTGACCGTAATTTAAAACAAAGTTTTGTGAGTACTACAAACGCACATACACATACATACTAGCATACAACAGCATTTATATCTGTTTGATGTTTATCCTATAATTTATAAATAATTCTGTTTTAGTGTGAATTCATTCATCGTTATCTCGATTTCAGTCAGATCTTTAAG